ACTCACGCTCCAACACATTGTACGTAATAGGCTAAGGGGCGGGACGTCTCTAAGCGGTTGACCAATCACAACAGAGCCGGCCAGCTAACCAATCAGAGTTGACTGGGCTCTGGTTTCAGACAGAGGGTGAAAAGAGGTGCTGCAGCACAGACAGTATGAGAAAAATAAAGAGCTTTTTGAACATTAAAGCATGGAGACATGTAGAGACACTACATACTGATATACACCTGAACATCAGCAGGAGAGGACTCTTTAAAGTAGAGACACTACATACTGATATACACCTGAGCATCAGCAGGAGAGGACTCTTTAAAGTAGATACACTACATACTGATATACACCTGAACATCAGCAGGAGAGGACTCTTTAAAGTAGAGACACTACATACTGATATACACCTGAACATCAGCAGGAGAGGACTCTTTAAAGTAGAGACACTACATACTGATATACACCTGAGCATCAGCAGGAGAGGACTCTTTAAAGTAGAGACACTACATACTGATATACACCTGAACATCAGCAGGAGAGGACTCTTTAAAGTAGAGACACTACATACTGATATACACCTGAACATCAGCATGAGAGGACTCTTTAAAGTAGAGACACTACATACTGATATACACCTGAACATCAGCAGGAGAGGACTCTTTAAAGTACAGACACTACATACTGATATACACCTGAACATCAGCATGAGAGGACTCTTTAAAGTAGAGACACTACATACTGATATACACCTGAACATCAGCAGGAGAGGACTCTTTAAAGTAGAGACACTACATACTGATATACACCTGAACATCAGCAGGAGAGGACTCTTTAAAGTAGAGACACTACATACTGATATACACCTGAACATCAACAGGAGAGGACTCTTTAAAGTAGAGACACTAGATACTGATGTACACCTGAACATCAGCAGGAGAGGACTCTTTAAAGTAGAGACACTACATACTGATGTACACCTGAACATCAGCAGGAGAAGACTCTTTAAAGTAGAGACACTATATACTGATATACACCTGAACATCAGCAGGAGAGGACTCTTTAAAGTAGAGACACTACATACTGATATACACCTGAACATCAGCATGAGAGGACTCTTTAAAGTAGAGACACTACATACTGATATACACCTGAACATCAGCAGGAGAGGACTCTTTAAAGTACAGACACTACATACTGATATACACCTGAACATCAGCATGAGAGGACTCTTTAAAGTAGAGACACTACATACTGATATACACCTGAACATCAGCAGGAGAGGACTCTTTAAAGTAGAGACACTACATACTGATATACACCTGAACATCAGCAGGAGAGGACTCTTTAAAGTAGAGACACTATATACTGATATACACCTGAACATCAACAGGAGAGGACTCTTTAAAGTAGAGACACTAGATACTGATGTACACCTGAACATCAACAGGAGAGGACTCTTTAAAGTAGAGACACTAGATACTGATGTACACCTGAACATCAGCAGGAGAGGACTCTTTAAAGTAGAGACACTACATACTGATATACACCTGAACATCAGCAGGAGAGGACTCTTTAAAGTAGAGACACTACATACTGATATACACCTGAACATCAGCAGGAGAGGACTCTTTAAAGTAGATACACGACATACTGATAAACACCTGAACATCAGCAGGAGAGGACTCTTTAAAGTAGATACACGACATACTGATAAACACCTGAACATCAATAGGAGAGGACTCTTTAAAGTAGAGCCACTACATACTGATATACACCTGAACATCAGCTGGAGAGGACTCTTTAAA